GAGTCAATGAGTCGATGCAATCAACTCGTTTTCCTTAGATAGAAAACTTTGAATCAATTTGACTGTATGATCTGGAGAACTATAAAGTGCCTTATTACCTGTTGTGAATTGGCGCTATATAAATAAACTGAATTGAATCGGTTTGGGATTACCATCTGTTGTTACCAATCACAGAAACTGATCCCCTGATCTTTTACTTTGCAGTCTGCAGAGGCTCCGCCTGCAGCATGTCTCCCCCCTTCAGTCTCACTGCACAGAGCGGCAGCTGATCCTAAGCACGGTCATGTGGAACGTTTGTGCTTTGAGAGTAATATGAAGTTCGGGTCTAGCAATGGAAAAATTCCTCTGAGGCGTAAAGTGTCAAAATCCATCAATAAACTAAATACAACATGTAATTTAAAAGCAAGCCCTTGATGGATTGCAAGTTTTCAAGGCACACTGCAGGAAAAAAAAAAAAAAAACTGGCCGTAAATATTTCTGAGACATAGTGCAGTTCGAGCTTCACCACAGTGGAGTCTCACTCTCCTTAAAGCTGCAGGATGCATCTTAAAAAAAAAGATGTCCAAAACTGATAAGAGCTAGGAAGAGGGTTTTAGCGCCTCACTCGATCTGTGACACGGTGCAGAAAGCAGAACAACTCAGTTTGCAAAACCATAAAACAATCAGCCAGGTTCTCAGGCAGTTTTCATTTAGTAACTTATGATTATTTAGATGCAACTGGCATGTACTTTTTGATTTTATTTTTACATTATTTCTTATAGCCGGTTTTGTGACATTTATATATGAAAAAAGTTATTTATGTGTGACCGTTTTCAACCTGTTAAATTAAACCTTTTAATACGTTTTTCATATGACTTCTTGACCGAATACTTACAATAGTATGCTTTTTTATATGGCTTGTCAAAACTAGGTGATTTGATGATGGCATTATTCCAGATCACAGATGTAGCATTTAAACCAAAATCTAAAAATGAACAGCCATCTGTGTAATGGGCCCTCTGGGTGATCAGTATCAAGATCGGTGGCAAAAATCCTGATTGGAGCATCCATACGGTCTATAAATGTGAGGTTTGTCAGATTTTGATTTGATTTATTTCATCTTTACTCAAACCTAAGGGTTAAACAAACCCATAAATAACCACAGCTGACGCTGCAGTTATCCAGAGTTCTGCTGCTGTCATGAAAACCAAACAGGCACAAAAAGAAAGTAAAAATAACATGATATGGACAGTAAACAGTTTCAGATATGTGCAAATTATCTCACATGGATAACACTCAATGGGACATTTCTGAGTGAAATATCCGGACCACTGACCGTCTGTCTGGGACTTGCTGAGGAAGATGGTGCTTGCCCGGGCGTGGTCCGATGGATTAGATTCCAAGGCCAGCTCTGGGAAAACATTAAATGTGCAAAGGCTTAAAAGCGGAGATGGGAGTGTCTGTTTGCTTCTCGTTTGTGGGCAGAGATGAGCAGAGAGCTAAAAACCATGAACAAACATACACCTGACAGAAGTCGGATTCCTGCAAAACAATATTTGCAAGACTCAGCTGTCAGCTGCTGAAAGGCTGTTTGCATAAATCGTGGCTAAATCTCAAGATAACCGCCCAAAAATAAAAATGATTAGAACATGAAAGTCTTTCTTCAAATCCCTGCAGGAGAGACATTACATAAAAGACGAGGGATTAGATGTTTATGGGTATTTGTGAAAACACGTCAGGGAGGAATGTGTGAAGGACTGCTGGATGGATTCTGATCCATGCCTGACCAACAGCTGGTGTCTCTGGGCCGTCCGCAGTGACAGGAATGCCATAAATACTTTACATAACTGGAAATCAATGCAAAGAGGGAAGACAAGTGCTGATGATACAAAAGGGAGCTTTGAAGGCAGCTACAGGAAAAAATGCTTGAGATGCCTTTATTAATCAGGGCTCTCTGAGGCGGGGGGGAATAATGTTTTGGAACATAATTTCGGAATTTCAACAAGATTAAACAATGAAATCAAGGAGCAGAGTTGGAATGCTATGTTAAGGGAAGAGAAAAGCTGTCACTGCCGTGTTTCAGTGTTGAAAATCATTGGTTCTTCTCACACTAGAGCACCAGTTATGGCTTTCTGTCAAGGAGATCCTTGTTCTTGCCACCCTTTCATATATTCTATATTGATCCTAGCAGGGCTGTCAACAAATTCTCCAAACAAAGCTTTAGATCTCTGCAGCTCCTTCAGAGTTACTCATTTTCTAGTTACAAGCCATGTTCTGGGACTTTTTCGATTGTGCCATATCTTTCTGTTTTAGGTGATGATATAAGTTTAGGTTGATCCTACTCTTTAAATGTCTCCACAATGCTATGCTAAACCTGACCTGTCTGCTTTGTTTTCCGATTTTTAAGTTGCTGTACCATTTCCCATGCTCTTCACAAAAATGCACCTTGATTTTAAATAAGGTAAAGTTTGTAGTTGTAATATAGCAAAACATGGAAAGTCTTAAGGGATACTACGGTGGACAAAAGGTGCAATACATTCAAAATACCATGCAAAATCAAACATTAGACTAGCAAACCCCAAAATGAGACTAAAGTAGGGCTGCAACTAACAATTTTTTTGCCAATCAATAATCTATCAATTATTTTATTTTCAATTAATAATGGGATAGCATAAGGTTCTTTAAAGAATGTTTTTTTTACAGTTTCTACTAGACCTCTTCTGATATAGCATTTTGACAGATGAAAATGTTTACAGTATCTTAAAAGTAAATTTTTATTTTTTATAACTGCTCCAACTGGGTTGCTGTCAGCTGAAGGCATCTTTTAGAGTCTCTACACTTTTAACAATTAATCAGATAAATCGATTATTGAAACAATCAACTAATTTAGTAATTGTTAATGCCTTTAACTGAAAGAGCAGCCCACTTAGAGCAGTAATAATATAATAATACACTTTAGTCTATTTTATAAGTTTGCAAAACCTTTTGCATTTGCTCTAAAATCATGTATTTTCACTGAATTTGCAATCCTCAGCCACTTAGGGATAGCAATACTTTTGCTAAGCATGTCAAATGAAAGGTGTCATCTGATTAAAGGGAGTTTCCTTTTTTATCTCTAATCTCTGACCCTGAATACTATCATTATTGTGGTGAGGCATGTAGATGGACTTGATTTAAATTTTAAAGCCCCTTTTTTTGCTCTTAGATGTACGGAAAAGGATTAGGGCCACTGAAAAAATTAAAAAAGTTAAATGATTTTAAATTTTATTTCAGTCTAATATGAATTCCTTAAAAGTTTAAAAACAATCCACTGGACTTGATTTCCAAGGTTTGAAGACGTTTCGCTTCCCCTACAGGAAGCTTTCTCAATTCAAATTCAAACATTTGAATTTGAATGACTATGACCTGGATGACTGAGAATTTTGATCAAAGTACAATATGAAAAAAAAAAAATTCTGACTTTTTTATTTTTCTCAGAATTCTGACTGAATTCTGACACCTAACAAACATGTTAGCATCAAGCCGTAGCCATGTCTGTTTTAGAGACTAAACTAGCTCTCTTGTTATAATCACCTTCTGCTCTTCCATTAATGCAGTAGCATCACCGCCACGTAAAAAGTCGCCTAATTCCATCATTTTCCACTAAAGTGTTATTGGCCCTCTTAAACAACTCACATCTTTGTCAGTGAATCTAAATGCTCCCACATCTATTCTTTCATGATGCCCATCTACATTAAGATCCAAAATTCTGAGATTACAGTCAGAATTCTGACATTAAAAGTAAGGAATTCTGAGACTAAATGTCAGGAATTCTGAGATTAAATGTCAGGAATTCTGAGATTAAAAGTCAGGAATTCTGAGATTAAAGTCAGATTTCTGAGATTAAATGTCAGGAATTCTGAGATTAAATGTCAGGAATTCTGAGATTAAAAGTCAGGAATTCTGAGATTAAAAGTCAGGAATTCTGAGATTAAAAATCAGGAATTCTGAGATTAAAAATCAGGAATTCTGAGATTAAAGTCAGATTTCTGAGATTAAAGTCAGGAATTCTGAGTTTAAAAGTCGGGAATTCTGAGCTTAAAAGTCGGGAATTCTGAGTTTTAAAGTTGGGTATTCTGAGATTAAAGTCAGAATTTTGAGATTAAAGTCAAAATTCTGACTTTTTTCCCATATTATGCTGTAATAAATTTTAAAAATCAGTTTTTTTTGTTTTTTTTGATTAGCCCTAAACCTCATCGTATAAATGTAACAGATAGTGTTTAGTTGTGTCAAAATGCACACTGATTACCAGACATTAAAGTGTGAGTGTAATAACGTGGTAAGCGCCTACCATCAGGAACCTCCCTGTCGCTGATGTGCTGCAGATAGGGCCCGGTGTTGTCGTCGCTGACTTCGGTGCTGGTGGGGAACTCCTCCAGCCGCTCTGCCGGTTGTCGAGAAGGGAGTTTGGGACTAGACTCCGGAGAAACGCAGCATGACACCGTGTTTCCCATTCCAAACTCTGGGCGTAAGCTTCACACTTATAGCTGCCAAGTCCAACTAGTGCATATATATGTGGAGCTAGCTGAAGCCGAACTCGCCCTTCCTAATAAACATTAGGAAACGACAGTTGAGTCTTGTGCCCACACAGCGCTGCTATCTCTGCCTGTTAAACTGCCGCTGCCCATCCACTCCCAAGCAAAGCATTCCTGTCCATTGGTGGAAAGCCAGTGTAACAGTCGAAAAACAGTTAGCCCAGAAGGTTGTCCTGAGTAGAGACAAATCAGTGGCGCATTGTTGGAAACCGTGACATAAACTGCCAGTAAGGAGTAAACATTTGTTTAGTTAATCCTGCTCGTTGCTTCATTCATTCATTCCAGAGCGTTGCTATGTAGCTAAAAAGTTAGCTTGTATCCTTAACTTAAATCTAAACCGCATTAATTTCACTTTTTTCGCGACGACGTGAACAGAGCAGACTTTAGAAAGAGCAACGGTTCAATACAGAACATCTTATCAAAAACATTTTAAGGAGACATTCCGAGGAGAGGTATCCTTACGCTTGGTACCGTGGGTCGCCAAATCCAGTCCGAGGCTTCTGAGGCCTTCAGCCGAAATATATACTTAAATAAATTGAAATAGCAGCTATAAAGAGTGCATTTTGAGTAAAACGCGGATGGCTTGTATTTTCCCAGATCCAACATTGGAGATCAAGATTGTTGAAATAGGCCGGGTCCCTGCCATCAGATCATCCTCCGTGACAGATTTGATCCTCGACCAGCCGCTCCTGCCGTCGCCATCTGTTGCTGGAGCTCACTTTGCGCTGTGATACTGTGGCCCCGCCTAGTTCAGAATTCTCTTTCCTCTCATTGGCTAATGGTAAATCAAAACAATGACTTTTAAGAACTACTGATTGGTCAAATGAACTGTCAATAAAAGCTGATTGAAATTTTCATTTATAATGCTGTTATTTTTACAACGTCAAGGATAACTATGGAAGCCCGTTTCCGCCAAAAATAAAATAAATTATCTAATTAAAACGAGATAGTATCTCATTATAACGAGATACTATCTTGTTATAATTTGTTATTATCTTATTATAATTAGATAGTAACTCATTATTTTGAGTTACTATCTCATTATTCTGAGATTTTTGTACCCTTGTTTATAGATGCTGGAGATCAGCCTTTTTTCCAGTGTAGTCCTGTTTCTCTGATCATGACTGGCATGATGTGCTCTCTTCATCCTCTGGCATGGGAGCTGGCTCGGAGCTCGTCTGCCTGGCGTGTGTTTCCTGGATGGGGCCGCATTTTACAGCTGCTTTTTGTATCTCTGCTTCTGTCTCCTTGAACCCCAGTCGGCCTCAGCAGATGGCCGCTCACACTGAGCCTGGTTCTGCTGGAGGTTTCTTCCTGTTAAAAGGGAGTTTTTCCTCTCTACTGTCGCTACAAGCATGCTTAGTGTGAGGAATTGCATTTGAGTCAATGAGTCAATGTTATCAACTGGTTTTCCTTTGATAGAAAACTTTGAATCAATTTGACTGTATTATCTGGTTGAACTGTAAAGTGCCTTGAGATGACGTGTTGTGAATCAGCGCTATATAAATAAACTGAATTGAATTATAATGAGATAATATCTAATTATAATGAGTTAGTAACTCAAAGTAATGAGATAGTATTTCACAATGAGATACTATCTCATTATAATGTGTTATTATCTTATTATAATGAGAAAGTAACTCAAAATAATGAGATAGTATCTCATTATAATGAAATAGTATCTCATTATAATGAGATAGTAACTCTATATAACGAGATAGTATCTCATTATATTGAGTTACTATCTCATTATAATGAGATTATTTATTATTTTTTTTTACAGAGTGGCGGAAACGGGCTTCCATATCTGGGCAGCTAAAAAACAGCATTGAAACAAAAAACAAAAGTAAATTCTCCTTGCTGCTTGTACAATGACAAATGAAATATCAAACAGAATCAGTTATCAGAAACTTTTCAGACATAAATGTATTCCCTTACCAAGCTCTTCCAAATTTATTTTCGCAAAATAAATGTTAGTTCTGAAAACAAAAAAAACAAAACAAAAACGTGCACACGTTTTTGTTTTGTTTACAACCCGAGGTAGTCTTGAGAAATGTGCACTAATATAATGTTTTTTTCTTTTTACTGAAGATTTTAATTGGCCCCTTATTGTTAAATCAACCCCCTTAATATCTGCTCATCATTTCCATTAATGACTATCACTATAGTGATATTCAAAACCTTTTTGTGTACAGGGTAAACTGCAAAGGCCCAAGAACACAAACTTGAGGAACCCCAGCCCACAGCATGACAGAGTTGGAGATGTTTTTGAGTTTTTTTCCAATTCAGATTTTTAGTAATAGTTGTTCACTATCATGGATTTAAAGGTATAGCGGAGGATTTTGCGAATTTTTGAAAAGACCCGGCGTCTCCAATAAAAAAAAAAATGAACATGGACAACCCTGTACCCTCTCCTGAGTGTGAACGCCTATTAAACGCGTGTGAGCGGGTGCACAAGCCCATTCCCCTTCCTGCACGCTCTGCTTAAAAGTTACTGTTTGCACCGTTCATACAAGTTTACTTTCCAAAAGACTTGCAATTTTTCCACTATTTGAGACTCAACACCTGTAAGTGAAAATGGGGACGAGCACATAGGACGACCTTACATAAAGATATCACCAGAATGATTTACAATTAGGAGGACCACTTATTTTGATGATCCACCTGGAAAAAGAACATCCTTCACTATACCTTTAATATATAAATAAAACAAAATTGCTATAGAGTATTTTAGAGGAGTTTATTAAGACATGAGTTATTTACCAAAAAAAGTGACATATTGCGTAAAAGCACATTCAAAATTTGGGCAGACAGAATGCATTAATGGAAATGTATTAAAACAAGTTAAAAGTGATATGACATTTTATAAACTTGTCTTTAGGGGACACTATACATGTGAATTATGTTCAGACTTTACAAAAGTGACAATTATTACACCCTCACAAAAGTTATGCATTTTATATTTATATGGCAATTAGATACAAACATTTCTGGCACCCAGAGTCACAAAACGTACGTTTTTAAGTAAAAAATAACAAGTAATCATGCCAGAGGGTTTTATTTAGCACCAAAAGTTGACAGTAATTTTCATTTCCCTTTGAAAATACATATAATGTTACGGTTCAATAGTTAGGGGAACTGAGCCCAACAGACATATTCTACTGATTCAGACCATTTGTATGAATTGTTAAAACTTGTATGTATAAAATTTACACTATTCCAATAAACTCAAAATGATGCTGTTAATTTTTTTGCCTTTTTATTTCTTCATTTAATCACACTGTAGTACAAATAAAAAGGAAGCTATATTACACGCTTTGATAAGCAAAGGAAAAGCTAGGGCTTTCACATGTGAAAAACTCAGATCAAAGAAAGGAACCAGTTTGTTTAACTAAAAAAAAGGATTTAGGTAAACAAATGAAAAAATATGTCAGCATAAAGACGTTTAAGGAAAAATCTCCTGTTAAACATTTATTGTTATTATTTTATATCTCTTGTCAGAGGACTGAGGTACCTTTGCCATGTAATTTCAATTCAACCTACAACATCAGATTATCTTGGATGGGATTAATCTAAAAACGATGAATTTTTAATAGTACACTCTTTTTTATATGTTAAAGACTATAGATTCTTATAAAGGTGATTCATAAATATGATCATAATAAAACTGAAAAGCTAAAAATGTATCTAGTTTGGAGTTAGTTTCTGAATTGAGTGATATTTATATATTTCTAAAGGCAGATTCTAAATCACTTTCTATGATAAATCTATTCTAAATCACATGCTATGATAAAAAAAAAACAAAAACAAAAAAAACAAGGGCTTCAATGCAGAGAAAAAACATTGTGCTTTCATTTGACACCATTGTATTATATAAAAGGATTTGGTGTTGGAGCAGTTTACATTTCAAATATTAGAAAATATACATATAATAATCAAAACAGTCACATTCACAGATGAACAGAAGAAAAAAAAAAGAAGATCAAATTCACTTCTTTAGTGGCCCGACGTCTTTCAAGCGAATGAACTCTTTCTCTTAACACACCTCTGATCCAAAACAGATTGAAACATTCCAAAAATAAACCCCTCCAACACAGGCCCTTCCTCATTCACTAGCTGCCATAATGCTGGTTGGCCAGGAGGGACACAACAATGCACACACACACACAAAACATTGCTTAGAATTATACACTGATGTATATTACAAATATGCAAAGTCTTTTTTTTTTCAATACAAGTCATAAAAACATTTGTCAAACTGAAATATATGGTCTACACATGCTGTAGTCTATGTACAGTAATATAAAATATAGACAGCCACATACACATTTCTTCTTAATGCACACGCACACATACAAGTGATCTCATTCCAACAGGAGTGAATATACAACTTGTGTTATTTTCAAGAAATTGTAGCAAAATGTTTTGCTTTATAACAGATTTGCTAGAAAATAAAACACAATTTCATACATTTAAATGGTTCATATAAACAAAAGTGAAATATTTCAAAGAATACCAAATGAAATGAAAAGGAATTCATTGAACATAATTTTATACAAAGTTATATTGAATGATAACGTTTAACTTTGAACCCTTTTTTTTATTTTTAGGTTGTGCTCTTTTGCAATAAAATGTTTTATTCTACACAAGCTGTTGTATACGGGGGATGTAACATGTGATATAAATGTCGATAAGAAGAAACATCCATTTCAATGCAGAAACTTAGAACGCCTTCAAAAAACAAAATAACTGCTGTGCAAGTAAAAGTAAGATGAAATCCAACTGGACTATTGCTATACGATTTTATAAAGATTGTTTTGGTCTCTTGCAGGAACACTGCTTACATTTTTTTTCTCCAAATTATTACCTCATTATATGAGCTTTGACATATGTTATGATGATGGGGAAAAAAAAGTTAACACAATTATTCAGGGACGCCTTTGTTATCTTTACTGTTTGAGATTTTTTTAAGCTGCAATCCCAGCATGCCGTGTAACACTAATGTCTGAAAAAGACAATGCTGCTCTGCGACATGCTCGGATACCCATAGGTGTCCTAGAACGGGTGCACAGAGTGCAGCTGACGTACAGCGCATTGGTGAAATTGAATAATTTACTATCAGAACCAATAGGTTTCATCTGCAGCCTCATTAGCAAACTGCCCTGCAGGAAAACATCTACAGAAGGTGCAGGAGGGGAGTTTGTTGAAGATTCTGTATTAAAAAATGATAAAGCTATGCAAGCTTTACTATTAGAACATTATACTAGCTTTCCAAACCTAACTGACTGGTTGGGAGAGCATATTGAGGCTGTGCAGGCATTCCAGCTGGCAGAAATATAATAATAAAAAAAAGAAAATTCATTAGTTAAGATCCTGATCGCCTTTATTAAAACAAATTAATGCTACACAATCAATGTTCCTTAAGTCACGCTTATGAAATGTAGTTTTATTTTATTGAAAGCAGATGGGACTTTGTTTTTTACCAAGTTTAGGATTATGTTGAGGTATTGCCAAATGCCTATTTTTAAATGACTTAGATCAGTTCTGCAAATGAAAAAAAAAATCTCATCTTTAGCTATTCTTAGTGTAGATGTTAATAAATATACAACAAACAACAAATCAAATAAGTGCTTTGTTTATGTCACAACTCTTCATTTTTTTTTGAGTGATAGTTTTGGGAGTGAGTTTCACTAGTTTTCCATTAGTTGCACATCAAGGTTAGATTTACAGTATTTTTCAGTCTGACTCTGACACACCAAGTCCAGCTTACTAAGATTCTAACTATAGACATATTTCATAATAGGACCATTTAGTAAATCGACATGATATAAAACATTGATATTTAACTAAAAAGGCGGTCAATATGTCTTAGGAGGCTTGTCATTGTCTGGCCTTTTTTTGTAGGCAATTACAACAGTGTTGTAAATCATAACACAGGGTAAACAGATGTACCTTGAAGACATTATTGCTTACACAATTAAAGTGAAAGTATCCTAGAGTTCAATGAGGCGGAACGATGTTTAAAAGCTGAGAAACAGCCATTAACATCTTCGGTATGTCTCAGAAACTGACCTTTGTGTTTGACATAGCTATGCTAGTACAGAAAATCAAACAGGAGTCTGCAATTTGAAAACAAATCTAAAAGGTTAGATCTCCACAGCATCATCTGACTCAGGCACCTTTTCCACAAAACAAACAACAGAAATGCATGATTTACCAACTAAAGCAGGATATGCTGACTTGCTGCTTTCTACAGCATCCAGCACCAAACTAAATAATGGTAACAGGATCTCAGTTTATAGTACCAGCTTTAAGACGGCACTTTTCTCATGTTTTCCCTATTTATTCTTATGACAGTACGTCATACGTTAAAATGTGTTGTGCTGTTAAAGGTTAAATGGGTATAGCTTAAAAAAAAGAAACCAATAAATAAAAAATTAAGAGGAAACCAAGAAGCCAGCCGTGAGCAGATTGAAAGGCCAGGCTGGCAGAATAAAACAGTCAAAGCATTTGAAAGAAACTGGAAACTACTTAGCCCAGCTCTGTGTTCAGGAGACAAGCTACTCGGATTTATGACAGTAAAGATCTTTAAGTGCTTTCAGTTCTTCGATTAATGTCTTGTTTTGGTTCTCCAGGACAGCGACTCTGTTCTCCAGACATTTAACATACTCCTTCTTCTTTCTGCGGCATTCCCGGGCTGCCTCTCTGTAAGAGGGAGGACAAACAATACAGTTTCATTTCTTGTGTTTGGTTTAAAAGAGACTTGATTGGATCACAGGATCAGTAAAGATTGCAACAATAGCCCCATTTACACTAGCCTTTTGAAACCGTGCAGAGAGCGGTCCGAGACACCAGACACAACCGAACCAAATCTGCGACTAGTTCAACAGGCCCGGCACGGTTCATCTGTGGCTCAGTTATTTGGTAACAAAGAGTGCATGAGCAGACCGCATCATCTCCTATTTACAGTCAACTGACTAATTTAGCAGGTTTTCCAGCGTGTCCGGCTTTGTAATTCACGATCTCTTCACCTGTTCACAACATGACCTTCTTCTAATCCTATTAACCATAAATGGCATCAAAAGAGCATGGTGCGGCCTTGAATGATGCAGAGACCGAGGCTCTCATTGAAATTTGGGTGGAGGATGCAATCCGGGCACATAAGTACCTAAATGTTATGAGCGCCGACATTTCTGTTTGCGTAATTCCCGCATTGAAAGCTGTAGCATCGTGGACCACCATTAGGAGGCGAGGAACTGTGCTTAGCATGTGTAAATGGTCGTAAAGAACCAAGCTCGGCGACCTCAGCGAGGATTGTTTTCAGAGGGGTAGTGTCAATGGGGCATATTTTTAATCATTAATAAGTCGAGTCTTCTAGTTTGCCATTGGAGCCATTGTAAAAACAACTTTTTTTCCCCCTTAACGCATCACTACAACACAAAGCCGGCCATACCTGTTCTTCATGAGGCGGACCTCCCTTTTTCTAGTGACTTCTTCTGTGGCTCCCTGTGTTGGGAGTGCAGGGGAGGAGGCCATGACGACACCAGGGGTGATGGTGCTGGCAGGGGCTGCTCGGATTTGATAAGCTTGGACATCACCTGAAGTGGCTGTAAGGCAAAGTCAGTAAAAAAAGGGTGATAATTAGCAGCTAAAAATGGTAGCCTGTGTTTAACATTCAAAAATATAAAAGCTCTCTAAACAGAAACACGACTTTAAGATACAGGATCCCACCTTGGACCACAACCTGGTTACTGGGAACCAGTATCTGCTGGCCGTCGCTGGTCTGTGCATACTGCAGGATGGTGGTTCCAGGCTGAGCGGCTGCTGCAGCGGCGTTGGTCATGGTCAGAGTCTGAAGGCCTTGAACTCCATCTGTGCCATTATTGGCCAGCTGAATGGCTCCGCCCTGCGTGATCGCAACTAAATGACACAAATCAGAAGTGAGCAAAATGCCTAAAAACTTTCTATAAAAATAAGATCTGTAGTTATTTAATGTCGATCTTCTAAAGACTTTATTTAATCAGAGTTTATATAAATAACATTAGCAAATCAAAGCTTTGCAAAAAAGGAGACTAGATATCCATAAAGCTTTACAGTTTTATTATTTAATCACCTATTTTATTTTTTTACTTAAATCACTTTTTTAATGTTGGTTTCCAAGCTGTCTACCCAAATAACTTTGTGGTAATACAGGCTTTTGACCATACAGTAAGGCAATGAGGTGGTATGCTAGTTACATTCAACATATGTTAATTAAAAAAAAATTGCTTGTTTTTTTATTTTTCATTAAAAAAAAAAGTAGTAGAAACATTGAGTCAGCTGCCACTTACTGTACTGTCCGCTGCTGGTCTGGTAGATGGGGGTCGGCACGGTAACGGTGGTGATGGCAGGTGTAGCTGCAGCGGCAGATGAGTCGTCCTCAGCCTTTTCCTCCTCGATCCGAGGAACCGCCGGAGCGTCGGATGAAAGGTCGTTGAGAATTTTTCTGTCCGGACAAACAGTCACTTATTATTAGCCAGCTTTCATTTCCTAATGCAGATCTGATTAAAGAGATGAGTTATAGTTGTTGGGACTTTTTTGATCATCAACGGAAGGAAGTTAGAAACTGAATTCAAAGTAAACCTAGTGTTAAAGACATGAGTCCACTTATTTAAAAAAACGGTGTTTGGGCCTGGAAATGATCTAAGATTATGTTGCTGGTCCTAATTACCTGTATGACGGACGCCGTGACAGAATCTCTCTGCGCTTCTGGGAGTCCGTCACACTGTCGACTGATTCCTGCGAATCCTCACTTTCTGCTATAGTGGAGATCTTAAATCAAATAAGACATAAATTAAACACAATCTTGCCTTAAATGGTACTCTGTATTAATTTAATACTCTTACACCCTAAAAAGAAGTTGTACCTGCACAGCCTGGACCTGTGGGGACTGGATAACAGATGGCTGTGCAGCCTGAATGACTCCATGGACCTGAACCGTCTGACCATTGGGAAGCTGGACCAGCGTTACTGTGGGTCCTGTTGCCGAGGCGTGTCCTGTTGTCATGGACACCTTAAATGAAAAAGCGTGACAATTTTCTGTTCCATAGACCCATTGCAACATTTATAACTCTGTTTATCAGAACCTCTTATCCTTCCAGACTCAAACAGCAGGAACAGTTGGAGTGTGCCTCATTACCTGTGCTAAGGTGGCGATCTGTGCCGGGGTGATCTGCTGGTTCTCTGTCTCAGTCACAGCAGTGTCCGCCGCCTGCTGAGCCTCGGCTGCTGGCTCCATCTTCATTGGCAAAGCTACGGATAGAAATTAGAAGCAAATAAAAGGGGGGGGGGGAATCACTTTTATAAAAAGCTGCTGCCAAATCATCTCTTGAATACAGGTTCATATAGATCCCTTAAATCCTTTTGCCACCTTTGAAGAAAAAAATCTATGACGACAAAAACACTGTTCCCAACAAATAAATGCAATTGAAGAGCAATTTTAATGCACATCCACCTAAGGTGAATTCAACCCCCCATACTAGATTTTAAATATGATTCTGGTGTGCTGGAGGGCGGGGCATGGAAAGCCAAAACAGATTGATTAGAAGAGGGCTGAATGAGGCGGTTATTGGTACATGCTCTCTGTCTAGTCTAAGAGGAATAATCCTGTTCCAAGAGTTAAAAACTGTTCTGGAGGGCTCATTGCTAGTATTTTTTATTTGAAAATGTAGCATAATATGAACTCTTTATAGTAATTCTCATAGGTCAGAGTAAGTAGTTTATAAATACATAAGAGGTGGTGCACCCAATGGGAGATGCAATGTTGTGTCGACATTTTTGATCACAGAAGCAGAAATCAGACAAACTTGTTGGCCTGATGTGTTTTCCCTGTATCTGGAAATGTGTCGTTGGTGGCCGAAGAGTTAAAAACAAAAAAAAACAACTGTAGAACATTCTATCTTGCAATGGAGGAAAATTTGTACTTTATGTCAAGTGAGAGGCATGGGAAACAAATAAAAGGAAAAAGACAACAATGAAAAAACAACATTGGTGCAGATTTTCCCAATAGGAGACAATTTAAAAATTAGTGGACATAACTTGACGTTTATTTTTGCTCCTTTGTTAAAACAAGACAGAGAAGCCTATTTTGTTAGCCTACGTTGGATGAGCTTGTAAGTAATGTATTACTGTTAGGAGATGTCACTGCATGACTCCCTTAGTAGTTTTGAAATGCTTAAAGAGAATGCACCAGTCTGTCAGTTGTAATTCATTTAGTGCAACACTACATGGCGATAAATCCTCCATACTGTCCCTTTAACTTTGAATAATCTAGACTATTTGATTCTCACTAAATCAGTTGATTGATTCATTGTTCTTTGTTGTTCTCACAGTGGATAAATTTACTCGTTACATCAGCTCAAACAGTCAAAAAGAGAAGAAGGAGGAGGTGCCAATGGAAGAAAAAGGTGGATGGGTTATATACAGTATATTCAGTGCGTCCACACGACAGCTTTTTAAAAAAAAAAATGTTATAGCAGGATCATTATACAGAGTTATGGCACAGGGTGTTTACATGTGTATATATATATATATATAGATGGATATTTATATATATAGCTATTGTATTGGGTGTCAAATATAAAGAAACAGGTTATTGGACATTGTATTATATAGTAATTGCACATCATACATTGCACAAGTTATTGCCGTTGTAGTGTCGCATTGTAGAGTCGGGTTGCAGCAGGGATGAATGACCGGGGGTAGCGCTCCTTTTAACAAACAGGATGTAAAAGTCTTTGACTAAAAGAGCTGCTCAGCTCCTCCACACTCTGGTGCAGGGGGTGAAAGGTGTTGTCCATGATGGATGTAAGCTTGGACAGCAGGGCTCTACTGACAGACACCCCCAATTTCCTCCTGTCTGTTGTGGGCATGTCTGTGCATGTCTCCTCATCAGCTGCCTGCTCACTGAGAGAACAGCAGATGAACTTAAAATCCATGATGGTATCAAGTGATGTTTTTGCAGTTCTGATAGGATCATTGGGAAATAGACCTTTTTGTGTCGGTCATATATTTTTACCCAATGGCATACTCTGTGAGGGGCCTACTTATGCCATTTTCCCCCCTGCTGTTTTAAAGAACTTGTGTGTTCTTGCTAATAACTTTACACTTTGAATGTGTTTCAAAAGAGAATGAGCCTTGAGCTACTTTGTTATCGATAATGTTTGGGTTGGAAACAGTCAGGTCTCATTTTGACACTAAATATCTCTTTCTGCTCCATCATCATAATGCGGCAGTCACTGTTAATCAGCTTTACCAACTTTAAAATCGATTCAAAGTTTGGATCTCAAGAAAAGTGAGAGTCAATACAAATGGTCAAAAATGTTAGGTGCATTTGGATGCAATGGATACAACTTGAAATACAGAGTAACTAAAGATTTCATTCATGCTTACATTTGCAAGGTCATGGCAGTATTCCCTATTTCAAGCAATCATTTAGTGATGGGCTTTGGACACTTTTTAGACACTGAAAATGCATTTTGTGAAAGTGAAGTATAACAGTCAGGATTTTAGCCTATAGGAGGAACCAGGAGGCTCTTTTTTCCCCAATAGACCAACACAAACTGGTCATTTTTATTTTTTATTTGAATTACCGATTCCTGGTTTTCAAAGAAGATAAAAGAGGAAAGTTTGCTGCAGGTTTTATGGTAGGAGTGCTGAAAGCAACACAAAATGATTATTTACTGAAATCAACAATAGTTTGATCTGGTAGGCCGAAACAGTTGCGAACAAGTTTTGCTGGTATGCTTCTGCACAGACTGTCTAGAATTTCTAGGGACCCACAGCAGTTTCCCGCCAAAGCGCAGGGGGGAGACTATTCAAGAGCTTGCGAGAACTTCGGCATCGCCGGCGGGAGTGTTTATCTTCCAAAACAACGATGGCACGTCTGCAAGATATCACAGTCACGGAGATGGATCTAGAGTTGCTAGACATCGAAGAGGATGTATTTATTTATATAATTTGTCTGAGGCATCGTAAAAGTGGTTGTACTTCCGAACCTCCTCGCTTAAAGCATGACCCATGGCTCAATGACAATATGCGCGCGCAGCTCGGCGCAACTGTCTGAAGGCGGAGCGAAAGTGGCAGTAAGACCAGATTCATAAAGAGAGCTGGAAAAAGTAGCAGAGTGTGGTTAGGGTTGAAAGAAACGAGTATTTTTCTGATCTAATCTTAAATAATCTCAGCAAGCCCTGTATTATTTTTTAAAATGATTGACTCTGTTTTTAATCCTATTCCATCCACTTCACTGCAAATGACAGGCGAAACTTGTAGTGAATTCCTTCAATTTTTTATCAAAAAGGTGGATACTATCAGGGCGGATATATCAGCTTTTATTATGGGTCCCTCCGTGGTAAATCGCTGCTCATTTGTCTTTACGCAGTTTCAGCCTGTCTCTCCAGCTGTTTTAACAGAAATTGTTTTAGAGCTTTTTTATGGACATTTGGGTCACCATTAGCCCCGTTGTTGGTGAGATAATAAACAGTAGTCTGTCTTCTGGAACTGTGCCTTCTTTCTGTAAAAAAAACGGCTGTTGAACCACTGATATAAAAACCTAGTTTGGATACCATAAATCTATTAAATTATCGACCAATTTCCAAATTGTTTAAAAGATTTTAGAGAAATGTGTCTTGGCACAGGTGCAACCTTTTTTTAGACAAAGCTGGCATTTTGGATCCCTTTCAGTCAGGGTACAAAAAAATTCACAGTACTGAATCAGCACTGTTAAAGGTTTTTGATGACTTGTTTTTAACCTAATATAAAATCATGCCAGTAGATAATATGAAAGGCGCACTTGCTTTTATGCGATTTTAAGCTATTTTCAATTTTTAAGAGATTTTCAAAGACGAAAGTTGGGACTTTTCTTCAATGGCTTCCAGGTCATTGTTTTACTACATTAGCCTGGTGAGGCACACTCATTTTTATACCATTTTAAGCCTTTAAAAACAATAACCCCCCCATAAAAAATGGTCCTCCTTTTCAGAAACCCTAATCTGGTCACCCTACTCTGTTGACCCCCTAATTAGTTTTTCTTCGTAATGCCTCTAAAAACTCTTTAACAAGCAGAGGCTGTGAAACTGAAGCAGCCTTTCAGTGTTGGTCTGCCTTTAGGGATCTGTAGGTGTGTTGAGGCGCTGCAGCCTCTGATGATCAGGAACGTGTTGTTCCCTGTTCTCAGTGATCTCACACTGTGCGTAGCGTCTCTCCGCTGCATGATTGGCTTTACACATTTCTCCCTCTGCTTTTCAAAAATCACTTGGATGCTCTTCGAGTGACAGCCGAGCCACATGGCCGGGCAACGCCCCCCTCAAGGCAAACGTTTACACCCGATAAACAAAAAAATATATAAATCAATAAAACGCACGAAAAAAGCTTTATTAGAAAATAAGATGAGGAGTATCTTCTGGAGCCCGTTTCAGTGTCTGTCAAACAGAAGGGCTTAAAACCTTGTGGGGAAAAAAATTCTATTAAAAAAAAATTGGAAATGTAGTGGTGAAAATACTGTAGGGAAAAATAAATAACGGTTTTTAATGTGGGGAAACAAACATAAAATAAGGTGCTTTTATTGAGTGATTCGGGAAAACGGCGCAAATTTTTGCGCATGTATCCGTTTTACATCCTTTGCAGTCCCGCGCAATAATGTCGCAATATGACTTTATAGCGGGTTAACAGAAAAACTGCCCGTTTAGCTTCACTATCCAAACCGATTCAGTCCTACAGATTCTCCCAAACAGCCGCAGACTCCCCTCCCTCCATCCTGCTACAAACACACCGCGGCGCCATGATCTCTTTGTTTCCCGTCGGACCGAACCCGAACCAACAGACACTTTGAGCGGCCGCCTCCCGCCTCTCCGAAGCCCAGACATCCTTTCTCCTTACCGATAGAGACAGCCTTTCGTCACTCCCGGGTCTCCGGAGCTCCACTTTTATTCAGGCCGACACGTAAGAGCCCGCGTCAGGCTACACCTCCGCCGCGTCACCGGGAACAACAACACGGAGATTGGAGAAGGACGAGAAAGCAGATGGCGACGCTGACCGGAAATGAACGAAGCAAAGCCGAAGATGCCCGGAAACTACCGAGGGGGTCCGAATCATGACGAAATGAGCCTCATAGATGTAATGTCAAGAATAATAGAAGGTTAAGGAAGATTTTGTAAATTAGTCTGGCTTTTATTATGTTGCTAGATACATTTAAATGCTAAAAATATATGTGCAAATTAATTTATTTCAGAAATTAGATTTCTTTGAACTAATCATAGTTTATAAAATGATTAAATTAAGATGACGTCATTTCAAGGTTCCAGTTTGGCTCATTTTGATTATTTCTATGTAAAGTCAGTTTTATATAACATGACATAATTATTAGCATCCTTAAACAAATGAACATGTTTTGAAATACAATCATTATATTATTTAATAGTTATATATATCTTCAGAGAAAATAATACACAAAAATAAAAAAAGTTACCGGTAACAGATTTTGACTTTAATCTCAGAATTCTGACTTTTCTAAGAATTCTGACTTTAATCTCAGAATTCTGATTTTAATCTAAGAATTCTGAGTTTTTCTCACAATTCTGACTTATTTTCAAAATTTGACTTAATCTCAGAATTCTAACTTTTTCTCAGAATTCTAACTTTTTCTTAGAATTCTGACTATAATCTAAGAATTCTGACTTTTTCTCAGAACTCTGGCTTATTCTCAAAATATGACTTTATTCTCAGAATTCTAACTTTTTCTCAGAATTCTGATTTATTCTCAGAATTCAGAATTTAATCTCAGAATTCTGACTTTTTCTCAGAATTCTGACTTATTCTCAGAATTCTGACTTTTTCTAAGAATTCTCACGTTAATCTCAAAATTTGACTTTATTCTCAGAATTCTAACTTTTTCTCAGAATTCAGAATTTAATCTCAGAATTCTGACTTTTTCTCAGAATTCTGACTTTTTCTAAGAATTCTCACTTTAATCTCAGAATTCTCACTTTAATCTCAAAATTTGACTTTATTCTCAGAATTCTAACCTTTTCTCAGAATTCAGAATTTAATCTCAGAATTCTGACTTTAATCTCAGAATTCTGACTTTTTCGCAGAATTCTGACTTTTTCTAAGAATTCTCACTTTAATCTCAGAATTCTCACTTTAATCTCAAAATTTGACTTTATTCTCAGAATTCTAACTTTTTCTCAGAATTCAGAATGTAATCTCAGAATTCTGACTTTAATCTCAGAATTCTGACTTTTTCGCAGAATTCTCACTTTAATCTCAGAATTCTCACTTTAACCTCAGAATTCTGACTTTAATCTCAGAATTCTGACTTATTTTCAGAATTCTGAATTTAATCTCAGAATTCTGACTTTAATCTCAGAATTCTGACTTATTTTCAGAATTCTGAATTTAATCTCAGAATTCTGACTTTAATCTCAG